TTAACATTTATTTATTTTATTTCTCTAAAAATACTTTAGTATGATACATTGTTGGCTTAGGTAATGAACATTTTTTGACGGAACATTGTCATAATCCGTTGACTATTATTACCTATTATCCCACTCATAGTTGATTTTAATGTTAACTGTTAAGTAAATTATTAATATAGAGAAAATAATACCGTGTTAAATTTAATTTGATGTTATGGATGACAAATAGGGTAAATGTACCAAGCCATATTATATGTGTAGGTATACTTTATATCTGTCGTTAATTTGATTAAACATGAACGAAAAATATACGTGCAACAGTGACGTAATAAAATGTTATTTTCCGTCACTGAAATATTATTCACAACGCCCAAACTATATGACTATTGCCAAAATATACCGAAACTAAAAGAATATAACACTTCATAGCCTTCCATGGTTGGTTTCTAGGCTTTAGAAGACAATATATTTTTATTTTATTTTTACCAAAACTTAATTAAATTAAAATATGAAATAAATGATATTATAGTCCTTGTCTCTTTAGGTCTTATAAATAACACAGAATTATGATCAATCCATTATTTCAAAACATGTCACGGTGGGTAAATGTAAATCCTCATAGGCAGTGGCGTGTATAATGATTTCTGAAAGAGGGGGATAAAAAAAAAATAACACAGCTAAATGGCAGGGGAAAATTGGAAAACCCCCCATCCTGCAGTATTCTAATACTGTATAAATAATAAGATAGTTATATAATAAAACATAATCATTTCGACCAAATAAACATTACTTTGCTACAAATAAACGAAAATATAATAATAATTGTAATCAGTATATTGTTGAAATATTGTCAAAATTCAAAAGCTCGATAGATCATAATATGATAGAATATTAAATTAAATTATAATGATTATAGTGAATCCTACATAATACAGGCAAAAACAAAAAAAAGCCTATATAGGAGAAAATCTGACCACCACGTCCCTCCTTGTAAACGCCACTACCATTGATTATAGAATATTGTTGTTGGTAAAAAAAAATGGATTATCTTCTGAAATATTTAATGATTTTAAAGTGCTTTGGTTGTTTGTGCCTTGATCGCAAACTATAATTTTGGGACACAATCCAACCTCTACTTTTGTAAAACATCAATTATWAAATTTTTGAAAATTGTTTTGTTAACTCCAGAATGAACAAGAAAATATGYAATTGGAAATTTCCATGTAGAGTAAATACCTCGAGCCATAAATACTAAAACACAGTTAGCACTTTAATTGGTCCTCCCATAATGACCTAAATCTTCAAAACCTTCAATAAAATCAAATTCTTTGGAATATTCCATAAATTCTATTATATAGATTTCATCAAAACAAAAAGTGCAAGCTTTTTCTTTATAATCAGATGACTCAATTTTTTTTTGTATATGACTGAAAAATAATTTTCTAAAACCTGGTAAGAATTTTGATTGACCAATCCAACGACGAATAGTTGATGGCCCAGGTAAATTAACTTTTTGTGAACGTAAAAATTTATATGCTGTTGGTGATATATAATATAAGTTTAAAGCTAAATTTTTTTCAATTAATGTCCACGGACGACTCCTATCTTTTAATTGCATCGTTACCATTGCCTTAGAATTAATTGATGAAAAGTTATGCATATTTATTGAATTCTCAGCTTTATTATGTGTTTTAAAAGTATTAACTCTTTTTTTAATTTTGAAATTTGAGTTATTTTATTATGAATTAATTTGTTTTTTTGTTTTAAATTGATTTTTATAGGTGTATCTATTTCTACCAAATCAGATTTCCTTTTTAAATTTGGGTTGGCATGTCTATGATATTKGTTATTTTAATTTTTTGAGGTGTAGRAAAAGTTGAAGGGGGGCTCGGAAAAACTAACTCTACCWTGTCTGGTTTTGAGTGTGTATATGTTTTAGTTGGGGTTGACATTATATTATACTCCTGCTGAGATTCATTATTTTGGTTAATGCCTGATGATGTAGTTGGCTGTGTTTTAGATTGATAATTATAGGGAATAGCAGTATCTATCAAACGATTTTGAGTACAATTTTTTACAAAGCTTTCGGGTGGGAAATGTTCTTGAYAAATGTACCTATTGTGGAGTTTATCTGGATCAACAGAAAACAAACTTGTGTTTCCTGTGTTGATATAAAAAAATATGTGTAAAAAAAATTATAAATATTCGCAATGGTACAGAAAAAT